TATACACTTTCAAATATAAAGGGAAATAAATTGTTGTGAACTTAAAATCTGAGTCAATATAAGTCACACTGTTATATTATATTAGAATTGTATAAAGTAAAACCAATACGTTTCTACTTACAAAGACACTTGGTGTGGGCGGGAGTAATTCTATAACAGGCAGTGAGGAAGGAGCCTCAGGGGGTGGCACTAGTGGACAGAGTTCCCATTTAATGAGAGATGAAGCCATACCATTTCTGGTCAATTCCTTACAGGTAGCCATCACTTCAGAAGCACTCATACTAATAGAAGGAGTGACAGGATGTTTAGGCTCTGGCAATTTTTTAACTATCACCTGAGGTTCTAAGAGACTTTTATGCAAGTCTGGTTTTTTGGTATACACATGCTCACTGAATTCTGTCTGTTGCAGTAATCTACTTGCTGATCTCTGACCTGTAATCTGGTCTTGAAATGATTCCGAGTTGAACACATTAACTTGAGCACTTGGTACATCTTCTGAAATATTTAACTCATCACCATCAATCCGATGGTTTATGTGCTGTTCACCCACAAGGTGCACCAAAAAATCCTCAGCTAAAGAGGTAGTGAGGTCTGTCTGGGGTAACACGGCATTAGCATTAGTAAAATTAGCTGTTTTAGTAGTAGCTATTGCCCTTTCTTGTGGACTCCTGATACTATCTTCTGCTTGTATATGTTCCTGTAAGAAAAAGTTTTCACCCTGTAAATGAAATGTTTAATCTCTTAACAATATTAGTAAAATCAACGCTGTTTCGTATATATTGAAGAAATGACAGAATACTGACAAACTTACAAATCAAAACATAAAGAGGCTGTTGAATATGTTGTTAAATCTTCAAGCCAGAAGAATTATATTGTTTTACTTATTCTGTACAAAGTGTTTAATAATCTATGCCAGTTGAACTTACTTGCTGATGAACTCCTGGTGTTCCAGAAAACCCTCCCAGAAGTCCTGGTTTATAGACAGAGATTGGACTATTTTCAGAGTGGTGAGAGTGAAATGGCTTATATGATTTGAAGTCTGTTACAGACATTGTGGTATTATTTTGCTGTTCATTAGTCACTGATGAGGCAAGATTTGACAAATGAGATGGATAGATCTGAGAAAAGTTATTTTCCCTTGGCCACAGGGTGGATGGTATTGTCTTGGTATATACTGTGCTTATCCTGGTCAAGCCTTCACCATCTGATGTGTACTGTAATAAACTATTTGAGCACCTACTTGTGGAGGCTGGTACTACAGCCTCACCTGTAGACTGACATCTCTGTGAGGGATCAAACACAATGGAGCTCAAAAACATGTCTATGTTCAGAGACAATACAAAAAAAGAGAAATATGTATCTGCTACACAACACAAAATAATTTGATTGATGAAATTTCACTATTTTTCATAAAATACCAACCAGAAATGCATATAATAGTTATGTAACTAAGCTTCATCACCAATTATAGCTATTAATAATTTAAATTTAAAATGGATAGTTTTGTACCTGTGTAACACCAAAGCAACATCAGTTAGTAACTTAACGACATAATCTTAATAATAGTATGCTGAAATATAGACATTCCTATTAATGAATGGTCAGGGAATTGCAAGTTAATACAAAAAAATAAAAATAAGACTTAAAAGACAAATACTTTCAAATGGAGCAATACTTCCTGCTTTGAAAAACAAAACAAAAAACAACTGTCTTTAAGCTTTTGATGAACTTGGCTCAAAACAATTACCATTTTCAAAGTCTGATAATCAGAATTATTTACTTTGCTGTTAAGCACAAATATACACATTCGGCTATCTGTGATGTGCCCACCACAAGTTTCAAAACCCATTTTTTAGTGTTATAAACTCTTGAGCTTACCACTGAGCTGCTGAGGAGGTGGGGGGGATAGACAATAAGTTATAATAACACTTTCAGAAGACTTTTGCACTGAGTTTAGAGGTAATTAAATATTAATTGTTAACAAAAGTAGTTTCATTACATAATTTTTGTTTTATTTTAGTTTACCCATTTTCAACTTTTACTTTAAATTACATTATTCAAATTTATCACAGTTTAAGTTTGTTATTACTCAGGATTATTGTCATAACAATACTTTTCAAAACAATTTTTTTAAATTATTGTATAATTCTACAACAGGTTTGCAATATATATCTAAGTTTTTTTTTTCAAATGCATTTAAGATACTTTTATGTATCTAACACAACATGAATCAGTTGTAAAACTTTTTTGCTTGAAATATTACTTCTAAACAGTTTTACAAAGTCTTACATTATTCTATGTATATAAAAAAAGTCATTGAAAAATAATCACTAGACTCATTAACAAAATGTTTTGGTTAAAAATACATCACTGTCCACATCTTCAAAACATTTAAGGCTGCAGTTAGAATACAAAACATAATTATGATCAGAAAATAACAAACAATTTTATTCTCTTACAGTGATGTGCGAGTATCCACATGCCATCTTCATTTTTTTGGTAATTGCATTGTTGTAATGGTCATCTTCATTATTCCACTTAAGTTTTGCACTGCTTTGATTCACCATATTCAATTCATTAGGTGAGACCTATTTATGACAAACAGACCTAATTTTGTTATAAATGAAGCAATACTAAGCAAAGAAAACCTTTTTTTTCCATCTAAGTCTTAAAAGAAAATTACTTGTTTCTTTTTATAGTTTAATTGCAGAAAGTATTCATAATTATTTATAAAACAATGCATGTATATATAATACAGATAAAACTAGCTATACTAAAACAGTCAAAACTTAAAACGCATAAAAAATAGTTTGCCATAAAAAATAAATAGAATTAATAACCAAATAATAGCAGCAATAATTTGTTTGACAAATATGAACAAGCACATATTTAATCTAAGTAGAATATTTTAAATAAAATCATGATAATACCTGATGCTGATGATTCATCAAGTTTTTCTGTTTATATATTAGACACACATCACTATCCCCAATGTATGGCAGTTGTCTTGGGCTATAAAAAATAAAAGCAAGCCTTACATATGATAAATAAAAACATCAAGTATGAAAATTTTTTTTCTGTGTGTGTGTGTGATCCCACAGACAATACTACATTGCAGGTAAACATTCAGACTACTCTGCACATTGAATGTGTAAAATTATTCTGTAGGTGTATGAGAAAATATAATGACTATAACTGGGTGTAGCCTGATTAATCTTATGCCAAAAACCAAAAAAGTATATATTTTTTCATTAGTTCAGCAAGTCTCAGGTACTAAATGCCTTTTATCATAGGCTTTACAACACTCAGACTGATGTTTTTTGGTAGCACTGGATGACAGTAATTACATTATCATGGTCCTTTCTGTATGTAGGCTTTTGTGTAAACTTATCAGCAAAAAATTCATACCTGGACCCAAATATTTTTATTTCTGATGGACCAGTGAAGTCCTATAGGTAAGAAAGATACACTGTCAACATAAGATGCATTCTTTTTATTATTATTATTATTCCTGATGGATCAATAGGGTTCTACAGGTAAGAAAGATTGCACTGTTCAACGTAAGATGCACATTGTTTGTTTTTTTTTATTCTTGATAGATCAACAAGATTCTACATGTGAGAAAGGTTGTACTGTGCAACATAAAATGAATTATTTTTTTATTCCTGATGAACCAATGAGGGTCTAAAGGTGAAAAAAAATTGCACTGAACAATACTGCACTTTTTTTTCTTCTTATTTTTAGAACAGATGAAAACGATTACACCATGATAATGGATACTTGATATCCAAACTGGGAAAACGTGTTTTTGTGATTCCATTCAAAATATCAGATGTGGCTTTTGTATCCATTTGTAATTGTAAATGCCTTTATCCTGCAAATAACACAAAACAATGCCAGATAAGACTGTGTTATTCTGTTTAGAGTATGGATTCAGTACATGGTCTACATTTTGGATTTATTGTACTTTAATATTACGGGTTCACTGAATTTAGCTATTTTACTTGTAGTTATCATTTTATTTGGAAGGTATATATATGTATTTATTTAATAAATTTGAATCTATGAGACTTGAACTTGCTTTACTTTAAATTGATTCTGACTGAAGAGTTTTTTACTTTATTCCTAACTCTTAATTTTACATTATACACTTTAAATACACTATATGACTAAATAAAATACTTTTTTTTGCATGGATTCCCCCAGGGGCAGATTGGCATTAAAGGACCAGTGTGGGCAATATCACCAACAGTGGCGCAATAATTTTTCACATGCTGCATACTGGCTAAACAAGAGCATCAAATGCAATGGTCTATCAGACAATTGTTTGGTGTCCCAATGAGCCAATCCTTCCCTGGATCCCATAAACCTAGCTTACTAAGTGTCTACTCTCTTAAATCAGACAATTACAATGTTGTATGTTATAAGAGACTGCTTAGTGTAGGTATTATTAATTTATTTATTGTGTGAGTGAATATTTTACAATTATTTAATTTTTTATAACAAAAGAGTTAAAAGCAGATGATTATTGGAAGTTGTGTTTATAATTCATTGATGTTGAGACTATCAAACGTTGCATGAAATTTACTGATGTCAAGGGTATAGAGATTTATAGAGGTGAGCAGATGATTAAATGATAAATATATAAATAGTGTAAGATGAGCAGGAACAGCAGACGTACAGAATAAATTGAGAAAGTAAACTCACGGGAAGTAGAAGTGCGACCAAAGGAAAGGTTAGACAATGTAAAGTTAACCGGCGTTGTTGTGAATAGCCTAATGGTTGATATGTTAAAGTGAGATTAACAGTTTTACGAATTTTTAGGAGAGTAATCTGTCTCGTCAAAGGGTGTTCTAAAGCAATTGAACCTGCATGTGTGGAATTTGACCAAAAGCAGGCAATTATTGGAAGTAGGCCTAAATACAAAAAAGCAGACGAGTATCAGAAGTTCAGGATACAACTGCAGCAACTCAACAATGCAGCATAAGTGAATTATATATGGAATACTAGTGCAATACAAATAGAGAAACATAGTTTGGTTTGTCAACTGAAATTCAAAATCAATTGAATAGGCCTAAAAAGACTTTTGATACGAAGAAGAGAACTATGTGTAGTGTTTATGATATGCCTATAATCTCTATAGTGTAAAGAATTTGCTATACATATCTTTAATTTGTTTTGAATATATTATTTGAAAACAAATGCATGCTGTTCATTTATTTTTGAATTTATCACCAACAAGTCACAGACACCTATTGTAGAAGAATCCTAGGCCCAACAACAACACAGTATATATTTATACTATTAAGAAGTATAAGTAAAAGCCTTTAATTGACAATTGGCAAACATAACTTAGATTCCAAAATTGTACTTTCAATCTTCATACAAGATATTGCTTTACACTGAATTTTCCTAAACTAACGAAACCTATTTTTGTTCTGTTTTTTCATGTTGGAATCATGCCTTTCCTTGATTTAGTAATATAGTTAAAAAATTACTAATATCTCTTATCTTCTTTGAAGTGTTAACATTTTGTGGTTTCCATGCTTTTACAATCACAGAATAGAACTTAGCATTGGAAAGTCCTGAAATATAACCTTCCCAGGGTGAATCAGTTTTAGACACCATATGCATTTAAAAATCCCCCAAATTCAATTGAACTACCTCAAGTATGGGGCTTTTAACCTGTGTAGTCACAGTTCATGAGGCTAATTTTCCTTTCAGTCATAACACTAATTAAAAGGTAAATAAATACTGTACCTTAAATGAGTTACTGTTTCTCTTATACAATTTATGTAAATATGTAGTTGTGTACTGTAATTCATTATTAATAGAAATATTCTTTCAGAAGTCATTAATCTGCATTTGAATAGTAAACAAAACTGATATTCTGCAATTCATATAGAACTTTCAGTCACATAACATTAAAACAAAAATCAAAATCTAACCTCTGTAAGCTGTTTGGTATAGTGCTCATCAGTTTTTCCTGTAGAAAGTGAATTCGTGCTGCCAAATTTGGATTTACTGGCCCTACAAGAAGAATGTCACTATAATCAATTACATATTTATATCAGACTAAAACTGTAGTTTTTTTCTTAAAAAAACAGACAGTACCAAAATCTTTAAAGTTTTAACAAACCAATTTTAACATCAGATTACTAGGTCTTTTAATAATTGGGAAGTATTATAAAGTAGTTGATATTGAGAATAGATTTTTAATCTCGATCTCTGAGGTAAACATTACTTTGACTTATCGTAACTTAATGCACTACCTTTAGATGCTTCCAAACTAAACTCTAAATAATCAATATAATACTTAACTCAATTTCACACCTCTTTACATTTTTCCCCTTATGTTAACTTCTTAAAAGAGAAAATGTAGCTAAAGCTGCAAAGATCATAATTTACTGTCTAAATGTGGAGACCGTGACTCATCCTCATAGACCAAAGCTGTTTAAAATACCCAAATATTATATCTACAACCACACTCTAATGCAGGGTTTACCAAAGTGATTGATATTAACTCCTGGGGTCGCTGAGATTGTACACGGGGTGAATAAAGACCTAGAGATCGAAAATGGCCACTAGGGTAAGGTTAGTCTACACAACTAACCACCCTATACCTAGTAGCAACAGAAAGCAAAAATTAAAACCTCATTCTTTTTTACATTTTATGCTTTCTAATAATTGTATTATGATGAATAAAAGTTGAATATATATACATGTTTCTTGTCTATGAAGTTTCATTTATAATTTATATTCTAAAAATATGGGGGCTGATGACAACTTTATAAGTTCATCAAGAGGTCAACAACTCTAAAAGGTTTGGGAAACACTGCTTTAATGTTATGCACAGACACTCAATGTTTAATTACAGAAACTATGAACTACTAAAAGAAACCATTGGTTAACCTATCATATGTATTTGGGGTGTTATCTGGCCCCATTCCCCAAATGTGCCCCCCCCCCTTCACAAATCAAGTGTAAAATTTACCTTAAGGGGCTCATTTTTTCCTAACATCTTTATTCCCCCCCATCCATTATTAAAAAAGCCACAGTCACTATAATTAAATTCTGTTCATAATCCTCACCAAAAGTCTGCATTCTTTCAGTTTTCTGTAATTCTATTAACCAGTGAAAACATCATATAAAGCCTAAACACAAGATGATGAACAAGCAGAAGAAAAACTTTCTACCATAATACATTAAATATTAAAATAAAAAAATGATATATTTTTTTATAAGCAGCACTATCATTAGTAGTTTAGAACTTTGTCCAAATAGTATTATGTATGGTAAACCCGTTTAAACTAAGACATTTTAAGAACTTTGTCCATGTGACATTATAAGTAATACCAATATGTTTGAAAGAGTTTTATTTAGATCTATATCTGTATAATAAAAATATTCTTGAATCTAGAAACAGTCTATGCATTTACCTAATTTTCAAACTTTCCACTACAATTTTCCACATTTTGAAAAATCACCTTTCACGAGAAAATTAAGTAATAAATCTTACAAGCCAATAATTTACGTGATAAGCTTACATTATAAAATACCAACCTTTGTTTCTTCCAGCATTAAGATAACATTTCACTGCATCGTGAAGTTGGTTACAGCTTTCATACAAAACACCAAGGTTAATCCAAGCTGGGGAATAGCCACTGTCTACCTGGACTGCACAGCTGTATGCTCTTAAAGCATCCATAGCCAGGTTCTGCTGTTGGTACAAAACCCTGGAAATACATGGACAAAGCCATGTGCTCAATTGCAAGTAAATAACCATGTACTTTTATAATCAGTAAGAAAAATATGTTTCCACTGTAAACTTTTGTATGATTATATAAATATATATATATATATATATATATGAAAACTGAAAATGACTCTCACAGGTAATTAAACAACAAAGGCAGAGCACTCTTTAAGGTGGCTATAAACATCTGAATTGCTTTAATCCAATATACCAAAACATTTTACATAATGGATATTAGAAATTGTTATGCACTGTTATATACAAAATTATTCAATGTTAGATGCTGCATTCTACTGGGTCATAACCTTCCTTCATTCAGTTAGAAAACAGGATGATCCTAAGATTTCTCCACCCCACCCCCAAATCCTACCTCTATCATCATATTGTATTACTCCCATAACTGCTCTGCACTTTATTTTCTCAAACTCCACAATTCCAATTAGCATATTAGTCATGATAGCAATTACAGTTATTGCTACTAGTAGTATTTCATCAAAATGGAAAAAATATTAAAAACACAATGTCATCTCTGCCAATTATTTTTTGCTATATAGTTTTAAGAAAACAAGTACCCAAAGTACTTAAGTTATTAATTAATCAAAATAAATTATGGTATTTTTTAACTGTACAATAATCGCTATCGTGAAAAAACTTACACATCTTTATAAATACACAAAAATTTCGAAACTACAAATTTATACAAAGTAATATAACTGTCCTTCTATGAGGACAGTCATCAAATTCAAAACTAGTACAAATCAATTTTAAAAAACAACCTACCCTAGGGAAAACCAGGCGTCAGCACTGGGCTCTGGTTGTTCAGCAGGCTTATGAGATGGGGAAGCATCTTGCCCCTTCCCACAGCTGCCGTGATAGTTCCCCTGGAGACACAGGTTGGGATCGGATGGAATCTCTTTCTCAAGAGGATACTTTAATTGATGTGGGACTTGGACCTGCCCTTGGGGTTTGTCCTGTAGCTCTTCAAAAATATGATGCATCCACTCTACAATAACCCAGAACTTAAAATTAGCGCCAAAACTTATACTAACAAAATATGTATTAATTGCATGAAAAGAAGCACTGTGCCTATTTAAACTCGTAAAATAAATAAAAAAACGTATACAATTAAATACAAGTTTTCCATGAATTAATTCTACACTATCTCGTTTTTAGTCGTTTACAATTTTTAAATTGTACTTAATATAGTTCTTTGTTCTTGTGAAACAGCGCCTAATATATATTTTTTTATTTTAAAATATTCACTTTTAACAGGCTAGTATTTCAACGTGTCTTCATGAGGGTGCATCAAATCAACAAAATCTAATACAGTTGATAAGAATTAGGCACAGTACAGTGGCAGCGTTTACAGAATGTTAAGATAATAACATGGGATCATTTACAAGGCAAAGAAAATAAAATATTGTTGTGTACTGAATAATTGTTTTAAAAAATTACACGAGTTAAAGTTCATTTTATATGTAATGGTATGGTGCTAAATGTTACAGAAACGGCACCCTGCCAAAATTTGTCAGACATATGACGTCACCTTCAGGGTGAAGTTCTCATATTCAAAACCTAATTTCCATTTTTGCGAGTCCATTTAAAAAAAATATATATATACACATCATTAATTATTTCAGTCTACTTGTATTAGTAATAAATTGAATACATATATATTACTGAGAGAAAATACGCAGGTCAACTTCTTTGAAATTACGTAGCAAAGAAAAACAATAATTTGGTACCATATGTTACGACAGCGGAAGTCACGTGACCTAGTAACGCGTCATGATATTCTCGAAGGTTCGTGAATGCTCGAGTGTTTACTAGATATGCGGTATTCTTGTATATAAGACCGCCAAGAAGTGACGGCAACAATGGAATTGAATTGCAGACAGAGACGGACAATTGAGTCAAGCGCGTGAATCGTTCGTTGTGAATTATAGCGTTTGTTTTAAGTTATAGCGTGACTGTGGAAATTAAGTGTATTGCAAAGTTGTATTGAGAAAGAATAAACTAGTTTTATTTAAGAAAGGACTTGTATCGCTGACGTTTTTCGGAAAGAATTTCTACGGAAAATTAACAAACGAACACAGAGACGTAACATATATAAAAAATAAACATTAAAACAAATTTTTTAAACGCATATTTTGTTAACTTACTATATTTATTCTAACTGTTCTAGTGTATTAAAACTTTGAATTTTATAATATTTTGTACACGTTCCGTCCTCGGGGCCAATACGAATAACTAAAACAAACGGCCTTTGTTGAATACTAAATAAGAAGCCTCTTTAAAACGTGTATGATTTAAACACCCAGTATAATTGTAAAACATATTTTATTGTTTTAATAATATATTCGTGAGACTTAATAACCACGTGACGTGTAACAAAAAACATTTCACCAAATTAATGATCTTACATTGTTCTTATGCCAGATCGGTCACACAGTGGAGATCACAGGCATCCAGACGCTTCTTTGACACTGCGACAGTTTGGTTATGAAAGACACTAAATTTTAAACGTTAACTAAATACCTTATATTTTATATACATATCTTTAGTTTTTAAAGTGTTGAGACTCTGCTCCAATTTCAGGTGCCTAGGCAGCGCTACATCCTTGTTATATGTAATAGTTATGTTAAATTCCATAAGAATGCACTTTAACGGAATTTGACCGACACCAATTTAACGCACCCCAAAGTGTGAAGCACGATGTGTGTGAAAGAGAGAGAGAGAACAAGTTGCAAACGCAGACCCATATTCCAAAACAGTAAACGCTGGGTCACGCTAGGCACCCATTTTATGGATCAATGGTGAAGTGTAATACTATTCCACGCCATCCAACATCCCAATTACTACACACAGAGATTAACAATGGTAACAATATTATCAATAACTTTATTAACATTACAAGTAATTAATGAAATTATTGTTACTGTAACTAGTGTAAGTTTTGTATTATTATGCCTACAATTCATTCCAAGAAATGAAGTACTTGAATTTTTGACAAAAATGTATTTTAGTTTTTTTTATTGGACAACAATAGGCTTAATGAACATGTACAAAAATAGCAACAATTAAATGAAATGAGAAATTTATGGGCTAATATTAAAATAATTTTAATTTTCAGATGGAGAGAAATAAGCCTAACTAAGTGATCTATATTTAGTTAGAAAAAAAACTGTATAAAGTTTCAAAGTGTACACCCAGGGTTTAAAAAAGAAAGACAACACAAAACTTTGAAACTAAATTTTTATGGCAATGGTTTGTGCTGTAAGTGTAACTCTGATAGTAAAAACAGTCTTTTCATCAAAACAATTAATATATGCATTATATTCATCCATCGTTTCTCAACTTTAATACAGATGCTGGGTATTTCCCCCCAAGGATTATCACTATCCCAGGCACTGTAACTTGTGTGTTAATAAAATATTTGAAGATTTTTAACAACTGACATGATAAATGGAAATAAGGTGATTTGTTCTTGTAAGCCTACAACAACTCAATAACTTGTGTAAAATACTTCATAAGATACAAATAATTCATACCAATATTTAGTATTTCTGAAGTGAATTACTCCAAGCTTCCAAAAGTTTGTAAACACAAAAGCTGATATGAGAGAACTTCACATCTTATTCATCACATCAATCTAGAAGAGCTGATAAGATAAAAATGTAAAAAAGAATAATATTTTGTCAATGGATTTTTCCATTCTAAAAAAAATGTGAGGCATGTATAATGTGTTGAATCATCTGTATTGATATTTAATATCAAAAGAAAATGAGTGGAATTAAATTCTAAGTTTCCTTACAGTTACTTGTACAAATAGAAGAAATTAAAACATTGATTTCAATATTTAAGGAATTAACTGGTAAGTTATGATATTGTATAAAACGCAAAAGACAAAACTTACCCAACTAAAATCTTGAACGTCTCAGCTTACACCTATGAACAAAGTCTTTCCTCCAAGTTTCATAGAATCTCTTCTGTAAAACAAAATGATGCAAATTGTACATGTTGATGACATACAGATCAAGTCTCTTGGTGCAAGTTTTTTAGCTGGTCATGAATATCCCATTTCAGTGAAACAAAAATGAAAGTGGGTAAAATTTAATGTGTTTTCTTTCAAAAAAACCTTTTTATATTTGATATAAAAAAATAAACACTGACTGCCATTGGGACATGGGAATAATAAACCATTTAATTACAAAAGTAAGAAGAAATGACACCTGAAAGCAAAGAGCATCTTGACGAGAGTTCTCTAACCTTTGTCAAGCAAGTAATACAGTGTGCAACGTTTACACTCAGATCACCAGGCATAACACCTTATAAACAACATAGGTCATAGTTAATAACATGAAAGATTGAGGGAAGTAAATAATCTCAAGATTAATTCATAGAGGGAATCCTCATTAGCCATGGCTGTAATTAGATCTCAAATCAGTCAATAGATGAAACTACAAGCTAAAAGTTTGCACTTGACAATAAACTCGAGAGCAATGCTATGAGCCGGTATATCATGGCATTATGGCTAAAAAACAAAGAACTAGAATAATTTGTAAAGGACTTGAAAAACTTAATTATGTCACTCTGGACTAAGATAATTCAGTCAGCTAAGTAGTTTATCTTAATGTGTTGATGCAATCCTTTCTGGTTTTTAATTAAAACTTAATCTTTTTGTCACTATTATACAAAACTTTTTATCTAACATTGTAGGAGAGATTGTGAATAAGTTCCTAATATTTGTTTTTTTGAGTTAAAATGAAAAAATATAAACAGCTCTAACACACTTAAATAAACTAGAAATATGAATACTGTTTTGTGTGTGCGTATGTGTGCAAGAGAGAGAGAGACTTTACACACAACACACTATTACTTACATAACTTGATATGTAAATTATCAAATTATGTAAAGTAGCTGGAATACAACTTGCTTTACTATGCATACCAAGAGAAAAAAAATTCAAATGTACTAGTGTAAAAAACACGGTTTGGTGGGCTAAACAAATTTAAAACCCTGAAAATGTTGATAATATAATGCTGATGAGTATAAATAAAACATCTATAGAGACTAAAAAGCCAAGTACTTCTGAAACACTTAATCATACAAACCCAGATGTATTTAGTTTTAGATTAAGCTCAGGCCCAGCTTAAGGAAGTGGGGAAGTATCATCACCACAGCATGACCTGTGATTACAAACCTTTTTAATGACATGTTCCACAGGAAATGAAGCCTATGTAATCCATCTAGGAACTAAGCATAATTCAGATTTAATAGTAAGTCTGACACACACTGCTCACAGATGCACACACTAAACCTGCACATGATTTGGGGGAAATAAGGGGCTTACTTACACCAATTTTCTGGTTCAAAACCTTAATGCAGGAAATGCATTTGAGTAAAAAAATTCAAAAGGAAATGGAAATTGCTTTTAGTTGTAAGAGATTTTTGATATACTTGTTATAGTCTAAAGTCACTAATTTCAAGTTTGTAAATTTTAACCAAACTCAAATAAATGTATATACCTTTTATTTTACATTTAGAGTTTGTTGTTAAACACAAAGTTGCACAAAACTACTAGATCCAGTAATGTGAAAAATTTACTTAATCTTCAACCATTGTTTGTTTGTTTTTTATATGTCCTATTAATTTTTTTTTCAAGTAAGAAAAACAAAACTGATAGGTTTAGGAACTTGTCAAATACTTCACACCAAGGTGTTTTTTGTCAGTAGTTTTATTTTCGACTCTAAAGTGCCTCAATATATATATATATATATATATAATGTGTGTATGCGTGTTGATACTTGTATATTGATGATTATTTTTATCCTTTTAATTTCTTTATCATCAAATTAGGTTTTAATAGGTTTCACAATATGGATATCCTGGTCCTTAACTGCTAATCTATCCTCTCAGAAAACAAATGCGTAAGTTGAATCACTGATAACAGCTAACTAAATGATACATAAAATCTTCACTAAGAAAGAAAACAATGAAAACATCACTTAGTTATTCTGACTAATTCTAATTGAAACGATTTTGTTAGATCACTAAAAAACTTTTATTGAAATCTTCTAGGATACTGAATTTCTCTCTCGTAAGAACACACAGGATATGGCTTAGCCATATAAATTTAGCGTTGCAAATTTTAAATGTTCTACTGAAAAATCATGAGGTTATACTGACTACCACAATGAAACAACAAAACTTCCATTCCCAAACTCTCCCTAGCATTTATACTAAGCTACCTTAAGGTCATGGCCCTCTAGAGGTCCGTATTTCAACTGTTACACTTACCTCTGCTACCCCCAGTACCATATAAAGTGTTCACCTCCAACTCGGCAATAAGTTATGTTGTCAGTTAACTACTCACCACTCTCAGGTAAACCTGTTTTGCTTCAATAGACAAGTGAATCTGCTTTGTCATTGTAAGTAATGTAACATATGACAGTTGGTAAAAGATTTGTTTAATGACTAGCTTTTGCTGTTTTTAATTAATAATAGTGGCTACAATTAACAGTACAAAACATAAATGATAA